GGCGCCCAGAACTGGACGCAGTACTCCAGCTGTGGCCTGACCAGTGTTGCGTAGAGGGGGAGGATCACCTCCTTGGCCCTACTTGAGATGCACCTGTGGATGCACGACAAGGTCCAGTTAGCCCTGCCAACCGTGACCTTGCATAGTCAGCCCATGTTCATCTTGGAGTCAATAATGACTCCAAGATCCCTTTCTGCCTCCGTGCTCTCAAGAAGGGTGTTTCCCATTCTATAAGTGTGCTGCTGGTTTCTACTGCCTAAGTGCAGCACCCTGCACTTGTCAGTATTGAAATGCATCCTGTTTATGTTAGCCCACCCCTGTAACCTATCCAGGTCTTGTTGCAATCTTTCCCTCCCTACTAGCGTGCTCACCTCACCCCAAATTTTGGTATCATCAGTGAATTTAAACAGGCTGCACTTCACCCCGTTGTCCAAATCGCTGATGAAGAAATTGAACAGCGCAGGTCCCAGGACATTGTAACAGAGACTGCTTTGAGAGAGCCATGACTGACTGTATTCCTGTTATCCCCAAGAGAGAACACCACTGTGAAACCTAGAGCTGATCCAAAAAGGTAAGAATACCTCTCACCCTCTAATGTCTCTTTGCTTTTAATTTCCACTATTCCCCATGGAAAAAACTTTCAGTAGGATTTTCTCCAATTTTTTAAAATCCCTATTTTCTAATTGAAATGTTTTTTTCCCCATATAAAGCTTGTCACTGAAATTCCATTTTTCATTATAAATTAAAAAAAAAAAAAAATCAAACTTGTAATTTATCCCAACAGATCTGATAGCAAATTCTGCCCTCTGGGTAACAATCACTGAATGTATTCATTTGGTACTATGGAAAGTGAAGAGGGAAAGCAGCCTGGTTAGAATCAACAGGCTAGTGCCAATGGATCAAATGGTGCCTCTTTAGCCAGCAGAATGCAGAACTATTGCCAGGCTAGTAGGGGATGAACTTCAACCTGATTGTCTGGGGGTGCCAGGGGATACTAATGCCTGTGGAACAGAGGTAATCACTACTGATTATCACTCAAAACATCCCTAGTGAGGAGTGTCACGGGGTGGGGCGCAGGGATGGCTGTGATCCCCCTGGCGCCCCTACCGTGCCAAGTCTGGGCCCTAAACACACCCTCTGTCTCTCCTGCCACGTCTTTGATCTCACAAGTATCAATGGGAGGCTGCCTTCTGACCCCCTTGTGCACGGTGCTATCTTTGTACTGGCCCTTGTTCACCAGTGAGTGATATGGTGCACCCCAGCTTTATGGGCCACGCGTGCCTCCTGCCTCCCCTTTAGCACGCCCCAAGCCTTGCAGTTGTCCTGGATGTTCTTATGTAGGTGTGGTGGCCCCCTCCCGGGCCCTTCAATACACGCACCCCCTCTGGGCTCTGCCCCGCACGCCCTGCCCTCTCCAGGCTCCGTCCTGCGCACCCTGCCCTCTCCAGGCTCCGTCCTGCGCGCCCTGCTTTGCGCTTTCTTGGGGCTTCTGCTTGTGTAATCACCCTCTTCGGGCTCTGAACCGCGTGCCCTGCCCTCCTCAGGCCTCTATCGGCGTGCTCGCCCTACTCTGGGCTCTTACACTGGCCCTCACCCCTTTATGGGGCTTCCCCCTAGGCTCGCCCCATCTTGGGCTTCCTAAGGGACTTTCCCCCCTTCAGGCTTATGCCTCATGCTCTTCCTGCTTTCGCCCCGCTAAGCCTTGCTCGCGCTCCCGTGCTCCTCGCCCTCTCTGGGCTTGTCTCACACTTTTCGCGCCCGTCGGCCTCTCTGGGCCTATCCCGTGCTTGTCGTGCTACGCCCTTTCTGGGGCCTGTCCCGCGCCTCTTGCGCTCGGGGCTCAGGTGGCCCGTAGCCATGCCTGGCCCCTTGACCCTTCTCAGGGTCCTTCGCCCTACTGGGCAAAATACCACCCTCACGGGCTCGGGTCTCAACCCCACACACTGCGCCTCTCCGGCGCTCTCCTGCCATGCCAGCTGTGGCACCAATCACTGTGCCCTTGCTGGCACCGCTTGCTGTGCCCCTACTGGGCACCAGGAACCCCCCCCCGAGCTACTGGGGAGCTCCCGTGAGGCCTCCTCGCACCACTACAGCCTCACCCGGTCCTCCGGTGTAACATCAAACCCAACGATAAACATAAAGCCCTGAGCCCACCGGCTGCAACTCAAAATCAGCCTACTGGCTATAACACAGAATCTAGGCCCACCTGGCTCTCCTGTAAAGTCTCTCAATCAGGGTTCTCTCTCCCCCTGCCATATTGCAGCCCTTTGAGTGGTCAGGCTGCTCCACTAGGCTCGGCTTAGCAGCAAAGCTCTTATTCCTCGGGCTGCTAGATGGTAACTGCCAGCTAGGCTTCGGCCTGGCTGTTTATATAGGCCAGGCCCCGCCCTGGCAGTCAGCTGACCCAATCAGCTGCCATGGCAACTCTCACCTGCTGCCCCATGAGTGGCAGCTCGGCCCCTATTACTAATGCCAGTAGCAGGCACCCTAGTGCCCTGCTGCACATCTCCCCTTCCCGGGGTTGAGCCTCCTTAGGAGTGGGGCATGGGAGTGCCCCACGACAAGGAGCTCCAATTGATTCATAGATGTTAGGGGCTGGAAGGGACCTTACAAGATCATCGGGTCCAGCCCCCCTGCACTTGGACAGAAAAGACTGCTGGGGTTAGATAACCTCAGCAAGGCGGACATCAAGACGCTTTTTGAAAATCACCACGGTGGGTGACTGTACCTTGAGGCTAGGCCCAGGCTCCTTTGGGAAATTAGAAAATGCCCTTCTGAATAGGTAAAAATGTAGAGAGAAGGGAGACAAAGTGTGGGTTCCAGTGCACCCCCCACCCTAGCCCTACTCTGCAGCAGTCTACACAGCACAATGGGGTCAGTGAGGACCTGGCTCTCACAGTAAACAGTCAGCGAGGCCGGTGCTTTTTATCGATGCTAAAAGGACTCAGACACTTCCTGCCATTTAATCCAGGACCATTTTTCTTTCAAAGAACAGGAAAAGCCTCAAGAGATTCCCACAGTGAATGCAACTGAGCCTGCTGCCAGGGTACTGGGAACTCTGTCAGAGAGGGGAAGGCAGGGTTAAGAGAGATAGAAACCACTTCTTTGTTCTTTTTGCCTACTTAGTACAGAACTTCATGCCTATGGTTCTGTTACCCTCATTGGACTTTATCCCTGCAGTCCACTTCAAGTTAATCATTATTCACCTTCTGTACTGGTCTCCATTATACCTATACATATAGCTGCACTGTCCTTGTATCTATATTCCTTCCTCTCAGCTTTCAAACTTAAACCTACTCTACTTCTGACCTAGATAACACCAACCTGCATAAATCTGTTCCTGTACCCACTTGTTAAAAGCCAACAGCCACCAACTAAACTTAATTCTTTATTACTCACTCCCCAACCACCTGCTTAACATTGCTTCTCCCCCACCTGGACATCCATGTTTACACTTGCATATGTGCCCTTCAGCACATTCACTCCCAAAAGACTCTTGTGTTTTATTATTCAAAATACATTTGTTTAATTCCTATCATCTTCTTTAATAAAACTTTCCTAGTAACAAAGCCAGAAGTCAGGGTTTTAAGAACACAGGGTTTTAAGAACTTCTGTTTCAGAACAGAAGCTACCCTTTTGAGCACCATCACTACTCCAAAGCCTCTTGCACTCATGCACACCTCCTTTCATGCCTTCCTTCCTATCCATTGTATCCCTGCATTTGTATCCTCTCCCATTTTCTTTTAGCTGCTAATAACAACCCAATATTCTGCCAAGACAAACAAGCTGTAAAATGTGTTATCACATGGTACTAAATCAGTTCAATCTGAAACGCTACCCCAGTACACATGCATATCCCTCTGGACTACTTGTATGTGATTTCCTTATGAGCACTCTCACTAAACCAGACCACAGCAAGTAGAAGCCCATTTTGCTTCCATCCTCTTCATTTCCTCCTACAAACATCTTTGACCAATAACAGTCTGGGAACAAGTTAGTGTTTTGGGAATATGAGCTGAATTTCCTCCTGGAGATCTCCAGTGCTTCTGTGAAGATACTTTTCACTGTTCAGCACCATCATACTGCAAGGCAACAGTAGTTCTCACCACTGAATGTCATTGTAGCACTGTTAATCAAACTCCATTGAGTCCTGAGAGTTAGTTACTCGTGGCAAGAACCCAGGTCTAACTGGTATCCTTTTGCAACCCTGGCTCCAGAATTTAAAGGCATTTCTGTAGTTTTCCAACCAAGGTCCAATCAAAGACTGGAAAAGCATCCAGACTGTTTCCCAGGCTATTTTTCATTCTATTTTGTCCCCAGACTATTACTTCTCTTTTTAGACTGCTGCAGGCATAATGTTTTCTCTCCAGTTGGGAGGACTGACAAATGATCCTCCTAGGCCAATACCAAGGTGTTTCAGCAGACCTCCTGGTAGGATGCACTGATGAAAGGTGGCAACCACCAGATACCAAGCTTAAAACAGTCTTTAGTTCTGGGAGTTGTGGTGGAAGAAATATTTTTAATATCCCCCCAGCTGAAGGGCAGAGGGAAAGGGATAGAGCAAGAAAGAGCACTGTGGATTAACAAGCAAAGCTCTTTATTTATCCACCCACAAGCACTAGTTGACTTATGCACCAAAGGAGGTTATGTTAGGCTTTCTGTCTCTGCTGGCTATTTGTTCCACACAATACACAAGTAATAAAATCATAGCATTCTCCACAACCGTTGGAATGTTTTTCGCTAGGAAGAAGTGGGGGAAAGTGTAGCTGCCCCTTTCCCTTAACCTCATTAGCATTCCACCAAAGGTCTCAAACTCACCTGGTATCCGGATGAAAGACCAGCCATTCTGAGGCCTAATCCCTAACAACCCTCCTGGATATTCTGGGAAGAACTGGGAGCTTTGCTTCTGCCAGTCAGCTGCGAGTTCAGGAGAACCATTTAATACACACTGCTTTGCTTCAAGACTTCCTCCTTCCTTTAGTGCTTTACGCTCATATTCTGCACTTCGATCATTGCAGTAGAAATCCAGTGGCACAGCGGTCACCTACAAGTGAAAACAAAAATAAAATAATAATGAAGACACACATTCACATTATCACCTTCTTCCCAAGTATCCCTCTTCAGTTATATTAGTTTCCCAGAGAAGTAAGACTTAAAAGTTAAGTCACTACGGAAATATACAGATGGTAATAAAGTCTTAGCCTAATTTAAAATAGCTAGAGCTTCAGAAACATGATTAATAAATGCTCAAGCATGAACAACTGTCCTGATGATCTGTGCTGTGACCTGCATTTAGGGCCACTGTTGCAAGATTTTGGACAAAAATGAAGAAAACAGACAGCACTTGCATAATTCATTTAATCTACATTTGATTTTAATTATTCTCTTTCCATTAAGTATTTGTGTATCAGAGTCTAGCTCTGAACAATCCTTGCAAGCGTTTCCTGTATGTGAAGAGAGGATTTTTTATTTTAGTAAGGACCCATCTAAATTTGAAATTCTGAAGACAAAAAGAAAGAATCAAATCAGAAAGGAGGGAGGGGAGACAAAAAAGAGATTTAAAAAAATAGAAAGTCATACAGTTTGGGAGGCCTTTTAGAGAGTACATTTCTTGGGTTCAGTTATAAACTTGATGACCACTTTAAACCATACAAGGAATATATGGTTTCAGTAGTCCACAGGGTCTTTTCATCTGGTTATTTTGTGCCCCCTGCTCCTGCTTCAGCACACACCACCCAATCACAGAGGACAGTCTTGACAACACAGAAACCCGGGCTTTATACTAGGCTAGCTATCTTGGACTGTCTCCATCATTATAATCTTTTCTGATATCTGGACAGAGTAGAAGGTATTTCTTGGCCAAACAGTCACGTGTTCAGATGGCTGTAAAGTCTCTTGACAAAGAGTAAACAAGGTTGTGGGTTTTTTTTACATTCTATAGTATTCGCTTATCTCTCCTCACCAGGCTAGCAGGCAACTCTGAGGTGCCATCCTGTGAAGCAGATAATTGCTCTGAACACACATTTTCACTGCTGGCCAATGAAGGGCAAAGAATTGAACTGGATACAAGAAACAACAGGAAAGACAGGGAACACTATACTACATAATCCCATACACACTATTTTTGCCTAACTGGAGGGTTGGGGGAAAAAAAAGAAGTACAATTCTATTCTAATGCAGGGACCCAAATGCAATCTGTCAGTTTCTTCTTCTCTCCATTTCACTGAAATGATGAAAGCAGGAGGAATAACAAACAAAGCTCTGACACACACTGTGATAAGATGGGTACCACTGCTCTGTCAACATCTTTCATATCTTTTACCAAACAGTTAAAGAATACCATCCAAAGCAAACTGCACATATGTATTCTTTCTCACACTCAAAATTAAAAAAACACCAACATTAATTAGTTACAGTTCTTTACAAAAGGTAGACTGAGTGATAACTTCCTTCTACTTTTCTTAGTTCAGGTCTGTTCAGGACCAAGCACTCTTGGCGAAAAGGTCTCCAAGAGCTCTTTAAATTCATGTTAATTAGTATAAGGAAGACAGAAGTTTGTGTATTTTTCACAAATGGAAAATGCTCTCTGACTTCTATTTACCCCAAGAGCTTCCAAACTAAATCTCAATATTTAAGTGCACATTGTAAAAATGACTCCCTAAACTTTAAAAGCAAGTTATTTATTGATAATGGTCAACTTATTGGTTTCTTTTATAATCCAGAAAACCAGTTTAGAAGATAGAGGGTACTAAGTCCCCCCCCCCCC